AAGGAAATCATGATACTAAGTAATGTAAAACTAATCCTAGGTTATAAACTAAGATACTCTAGGATTAGACACAGATCATAGAAGATAAACTAGGATATTCTAATAACTCTCTAAGAGTTCCACATTTGATGAGATATGCCCTGACAATGTGTTTATAAGTGGAGGTGGGTGGGGTAGCTCAATTGTGCTAGTTGAGCTAAATGGGTGTAAGTTGTTGGTTCAGAGTTCGATCCCTAACAGTAGCATTTCATTGTATTTTCTCATAATGCAATAATGTAAACAAGTTGTAGATACTTATAAATTAACAACTTTTAAAATAAGTGCGAGTAATCTTCACCTTATAAACCAATTCTATAAAATTGAGTTAGGCCCAACCCAAACTCTAATATACTATCAAAGTTTATCCAAGAATAATTGAACCACCTCCTATCAGGTTACATCTCAAGCCACTCGGATCATACTTTGAAGAGATATGGCTAACAACGTGCTTATAAATGGGGTGATCTTCACGTTACAAGTCGGTTTTGTTAAGCCAAGAGTTGTTAATCCCGGATAGCGGAGCGGAGCGGCCGACCCCCGGGAATGGGAAAAGCGGGAATAGCGGGATTCCGGATAGCGGGACAACTTTTTGTATACTAATAATTATATAATAATCTATAAAACATATGTTATAAAACATATGTCATGCAATACTAAATTAATTCCACAACACTCATAAAATACTTATAAAATCTAATGTCAAACAAAGAACAATGCTTAATCAAGACTCAAAACATAAAGATTCAAAACATAAAGGTTCAAATGTCAAACAAAGAACAATGCTTAATCAAGACTCAAAACATAAAGATTCAAACATAAAGGTTCAAATGTCAAACATAGAAATCATATAGCATCATCAAAAAATTCCTCTTCCTCTTCATCTTCTTCAATATATAGAAGAAGAAGAGCGCTTGCTGGAAAGGTGAAACGGAAACGGTGGAAACGGTGAAGAGAGACAGAGACGAGAAACGGCGAAGAGAAAAGCTGGAAACAGGCAAGGAGAAAGGAGAAGAGACGGCAGAGAAAAGCTGGAAACAATAGGAGACGGTAGAGAGAGGAACGGTAGGGCAAGGAGAAAGGAGAAGCGGAACGGTAGGGCAAGGAGAAGAAAAAGAAACGAACGGCAGAAAGAAAGAAACGTGAGTTATAACAAACTATTTTACATATTATTTTATAAAATAATAAGGACAAAACAGTAATTTTGTTAAAAAAAATTTTAAAAAAAAAAGAAAAACTGCAGATCCGCTCCGCCTGGGAAAAACCCGCGACGGGCGATCCGCTATGTCATGAAAAGCGGCCGCTATCCCATCTCCGCTACGGCCCCCATGTTAGCGCGCGGGAGGCCACCGCTCTGCTACGGAGCGCCGCTATAGCGGCCGCTTTTGACAACTCTGGTTAAGCCTAACACAAGCTCTAATAATAACAAAGCTTTTCAAAAATATTCTCTCTTTTTGCATATCATTGTGGCAATACACCGAATGGGCTACAAGAACTATTGAAGATTTGCAGACGTTCTTTAGGATCCTATAAACTACCTTCTAGATGACATGATCATGCCATAGCATTGAAGGAAGGGGCAGAAATTCCTAATATGCAATTGGAAAGGTACCCCGTCAATATTAAAAAAACTGCGATAGAAAACCAATTAGTAATGCGCTGAAAGTTGGTGTGATTCAACCTAGTGTGAATCCCTATTCAAGATCTATAATTATTGTAAAGGAAAAGAATGGAAGGTGGAGTTTGTGTCATCCATAGATTTTCATTGAAAAGAATGAACAATTTGCTGAAAGATTGAGAAAGGATAAAAGTAAATAGGAGGGGTGTTTTATATATATCCTTGTATTCTATTACTTATACAAATAAATGTATAACAACCTCAACTACTGACTATTCTAACATTGTTTAACTACTCCAATAAGACATGATTCTATATCCTATCAACACACCCCTCCTCAAAACAATCTTGTCCTCAAGGTTGACTCACAAGGATCATATTCCTATCGTATTTCATCTGCTCCTCTTGCATAAGAGAACTTAGTCACACTCAAAATGAATGAAAAAAATGAGACTACTGAAATGGAATTATTTATTTTGATCCCTACAGTTTTACCGAAGACATCGATAACCAGGTTAGACACTTAACCAGTGAACTATAAAAAAAAACCCATAAAAAATATGCAAACTAAAATTTTTAAAATACAAGACAATAGGACTTGTGAGGCTCATGTTGCTTAACTTACATACATACTAACAATATATAGTTAAACATTATATCGAATATTACTTGTTAAATGACTTGATGAACTAGAGCACCATTACCTGTCTATCAATTTTTTCCTTTATCTCTTCTAAGCGAGGCCTCATAAGCTGCAATACACATGAAACGGTAAGCTTAATTAGATAAGGATATTAAAAAAAAGTGCATTATCAAATATACATAAAGCTTTACAACCTTCATTCAAAAGGACAAAAAATGAAGGAACAAAATGGTGAAGTGAGTGAGTAATAAAGCCTACAACCCATATCAGGGATATCGTATTTCAAAAATGGAAAGAGAAGCAAAAGGGAAATTTCACTCCAAATATCTAAACTAGTATCCTGTTGAAATAGAATAACCAAGGAGAAATGGGCAAGTAAAGTAATAGTCATTGGCATTACTACATTTTAGCAAGAAAGGAGTATGAAAGTAAAGCAACACAACATACAGTAAGCTTAGAAGTGGCCTTGAGTTGATTTATTAAGAGTGGAATAGTTGCACTTCGAATCAAGAGAGTTGTTAGAACTATGGATGCCCACCTGATACAAAATTCATCTGCCATTAAATTTTTTCGGAGTTAGGAATTAACAAGTCATTAAAGAACAATTTAACAAACATAGCTCCGAAGCTCGGACTTCGATACAAACACTCTGACACCGAAATATCAAAAACATAGGACACTGACACCGCTGCATATATATAATAGTATTTGAACTTCATTTATCTATCTACCCATCTATTATTAAAAGAGTTAAAAATATCATAATCAAAACTATTTTCTTAAATTTTTCATTGATAACATTGCTTGGATACTTTGGATACATGTTTAACACTTTTAGATATGTGTCTGTGCTTCATAGAAGCATAGTCTCATAAACTGTATATTTCCATTCACCTTAAAAAGGTCATAAAATAAGGTAAGATTCGAATTTGTATAATGTTAAGGGAAAATCATCAGCTTCATTACTCATTAAGGATGAATAGCAAGTGAAACTCACCAGTGTAGCCCGGTGAAGGAATGCACTGCATCTATAACATACTGCAATGCTTGTACGGGCAAATAAGAATCAGCAGCAGCAATGGCAACTTCACTAACAACGGGAGCCTGAGAAACAACAGCGTCCATGGTGGTACCAACAAGAACATCAGCTACATCAGTGATTGCAGTAATCTTATCCGAATCGTGATCGATCGTCGACATATTTCGACAGAAAGTATATCCAGCGAAAGGAGAAAAGATTCGATGTTGAGAGGATGAGAAAAAACCCGTTGATCGATGAAGAGAACTCCGAAAGGATCTTGATTGAACAAAACTAGTGATTCCTGTTGAACAAGGTATTTCGTCTGACTGGTCACGTTTACCTTCGCCGGTATGGATAACATAGGTGAAAGAGGGGTGGAACTTTCGGTCTATTAGGTTTCGTCTTTGCAAGAGGCAACGTCTATAAGCCATTGATTCGTTTGAAAATTCTATCGAACAACGTTACATGGACAAATTAGAAACGATGCGGAAGAGGGAGAAAGATGAATGAATAGAGGAAAACCTGGACGGCTTTCTCGGTGTTTCTGGCGGCTGATGATGTGAGTTCAGTACAATGCCCAACGTTTTAGGGTTTAATTCATTAATTACGTCAACTTTTTTTTACACTCATTCTACTTTTTAACTCTCTTGTCTGTTAATAAGAAGCTAAAAAATATCTAAGGTTCTGACTGGTGTTATAAATCTCAATTACTAAAAATATTGAAGGGCGCCATGCCACCTATTATGCCTCAATGATAGGAGCATTTGTGATGCAATTTAGACGATTTTAACGTTAAAAGTCGTTTGAATCGCAAGAGAGAAAAATATGGTTCAGTTTGGTTTGATTCACTTTTAAAAATCAAATCAAATCAAATCGAGTCAAACTAATGCGGTTTAGATTTGTTTGATTGATTCAGTTTTTTACAAGATTTTTATTAAATCATACATACACGTATAAATGATAACATAATTTTATATTTAGTCATTCATATACTACCATAAAATAAGTTTATAATTGTTAATAAGTTTACAATTTATCTTATGTCTAAATAACAATATATATGAAATTACTTTTAAATAAATTTGAAATATTATATTTTGTAGTTATAAACAAGTGCTTGCATCTGACTATGCTAATCTGATAACATTATAATTTATTTTTTATTATCTGTTTTGAGTCGGCCGGAGGTCCAAATTGTTAAGGCTCAAACCAACTCAAATTCATTCCACATGACCCAAGGTATAAAAGTCATTTCACACGAAATTTAAGGTACATTTTTCTGATCTCCACTTTTGATCACAATCATCTTGAATCTTGAACTGACTTGGATGTTTGACTGCTAACCTTGCAAATCCACCTCATGTCATCGTACCGGAGATCAACACCACTAGTTCAGGATTCTACATTAATTGTTTACATCTAATTCTAGTTCCAAAATAGAACAGTAGCGTCGTCTGTAGGAATCAACGTCTAATTCCTGCGAAATTCTACGAGTAAATCATCTTCTATCCAAAATCAGATCCCTATCAGAAGTAGAGGGAGGAGAAATGATAACTCTGTTAGTCATGTCCAGGAGATCAGTTCCTTCCTCTGACCCAATCATTTGCCAATTATCACTGATTGACGAGATTTGTAGTGCAACGACTTCCAATACTTATTCGTTATCTTAGTCCCTCCTAATAATGACAGATAATGACATTCAACGGAGTAGAGACCGATTGGAGTTAGGTTTTCTTAATACCAAAAAGATCAATGGAATTTCAAACTTTGATCTGCCTATGATTCTAGCGATCACCATCGCTGATCAAAATTTGATAGAATTCCTCGTGGATGATAGAAGCTCTTGTAAGGTCGTCTACGCTGACACGTTAGAACAACTAGGCATTCAACAGATAGATCTGGATTCATATCACTGAGGAGATTTGTTGGCCTTCAATGATTAGGTGATTCTCCCTGGTGGAATGACAAATTTGACATTGGCGATTACAGAAGTAATGTGTGAGAGAAATGCAGTCCTCAACTTCCTTGTAATTCCTTGTATGGGCACCTTTAGATGTATCCTGGGAAAATCCTTCTTGGAAAAACTATATGTGATGTCATCACCAATCCACTTGAAGGTAGCTTATCATAATAATGAAGGGATGTCATCCTTGGTTAGCGCCTACTTAGAGGAAACAAAGCGGGTTAAAGATCTCATTCATCGTTAAGAATATTCTTGCATTAACGACAGGAGTGTAAAAAGGTATGGGGAATATCGATATGTTCGACCTGGAAACACGCAAGGATGAAGTTATACCCATCCTAAATGGTGAATTTAAGTCTATCGAGCTCGACTATAACCCTACCTAGTTGGTAAAGATATGATATGGGCTTCCCTTTGAAGTAAGGTTCACCCTAATTAAATATCTCCATACCAACACAGACCTTTTCGCCATCTCTCCACATGAGATGCCTGACATTGACCCCATTATGGCATGCCATCAGTTGAATGTGGATTCCAGCACCCGCTATGTCTCCCAACAACAAAGAAAGTAGTCCCCGAAGAAAGATGAAGCTACCGCAAGCACGAAATTCATTTTGATAGAGAAGTATACGGAATGGTTGTCTAATTTTACCCTAGTGAGGAAAGTCTCGGGAAAATGGATGGTGTGTGTTGCTTACACATATATTAATATAGTATGCTTGAAGGATTCTTACCCGCTCCTGAACATCATCAAGCTTGTAGGTAATTCAGTCCGGTACTAGTTGAAGGTGAGAAAACACAAGAAGAGAGGTTGAATTGTGTAAACTTTTTGTCCTTTTTCTCTTGAAATACTCTTATCAGATTCTGAATAAAGATCAGAATTTGATCTAGAGTCTGCTGAGTAACAATAAATAAAACAATTAAGAGTCAAAGAAGAAAGAAAAAAGAACACAAGCAATTATTCTAATTCCTCCCACAAATCAGGAGTAGTCTAGTCCCCTTGCACTTCTAATGGATTTCCACTATAACCAAATCTGATTATAAATTGCTCAATCACACAAGCAAGAGACTTTCAATGCTTAAACTTACAAGTAAGATACTTCAATGTTCAAGCACACAAGCAAGAAACTTATAAATTCTCAAGCACGCAAGCAAGAGACTTATAACTCTATAACAACATGTTAAGAGATTGTGATAAACTACATTTGATATATAATCAGAGGTGTAGACAAAATACAACACAAAAGACTCTAAGACTTAAGAACTTATAAGAATATATAAATGTTAAGAAGTTCTAAGTTAAGCCTATGCAATAGATTTGACAGATTAACATCTTTTTGTTTGTCTAGGCTCATTGTTGTACTTTTTCTCTAAGTCTTTAGCTCCTTTTAAGGAGAACCATAAAAGAGTCGTTGGAGAAACCTTCTTGCACAAGTGAGTCTTTGGAAGAAACATCATCAGATCCGTTAGAAAGCTTCCTGATATGGTTAATGTAGTTAAAAGGTAATTTGAAACTCCTTTGCTCAAAGAGGAATTATCAGTTGCATTTCATTTGTCTTTTGTAGAATTCTACTAAGTCTTCACATGATCATAAGAAGACAAATTAACCTCAGAGTCTGATAGTGACTTGCCTGACTTTCCTTGGTTCTTGAGCTTTAACTGGATTTAGGTTTTGATCCTTCAAAGTCTGAGTCTTAGATTTTGATTCTTCAGACTTTGGGTCTTTAGAGGTTGACTTGATCTTCATAAGTTGACCTGATCAGAGCCTGGGATCTTCAAGTTCTGATCATCAGAAGTTGACTTGTCTTCAGACTCTGGTCTTTAAAAGTTGACTCCTTCAGAGGTCGGTCTACAAAATCTACAACTTAGGGTTTCTCTTTGGATGTTCAATGTAGTATTAGAACTGAATTTGAATCAGAACTTAATTTATGTTCCTTCACACTTGAACAAACATTAGTATATCCAATTGTTCCTTAAATACTTTGTTATCATCAAAGCCTTAGGAATATGGAACAAACCAATTTTGTTCCAATAATATACCCATTTTTATGATGACAAACACAAGTATTTAAGAATAATGGTTATTGATTTATTTAACATGTTGACTTCAGGGCTGAGGTTTATAAGCTTCCCATGAGTCTGATAGTTCTAAGGGTGAGGTTTGTAAGCTCCTCCTAAGTCCTATCTAGGTTAATTAAATTTATCTTTAAATCACAATAACAAATCTTCAGATTTAAAGCAATGAATAATGTTAACCAATTAGATTCAGATGCTCAAATACTTATTATCCTACTCCCCATTTTGTCATCAACAAAAAGAAGGGAAAAAATAAGAAAAAATACTGAAAAAAACATTTCATTAACCAAAGAAGAAGAGAGTCGGATGCAAAACATGTTAAAAAAATGACAAGACAAAATAAAAAGGTTTCCTAGATCCTAAAGCCTAGGTTTTTTGCTTCAGAAGCTCCATAACATTTTTGAGATCATAACTCATTTCTTCTAACTTAGTAATCAGTCTTCAGCTGAACATCAATATTTTTTTCTTAACATCCATGAATTCTTGAGTGGCAGCAACAAAAGCCAATTTTCTCTATAACTGTTCTTATTTCTGACTGAAGGAAGCTATAAACTTAGTAGAAAAGCTCTTCAAATTCTGCAGAACTGAATCTACATAAGTTCGTAGAGTATCCCACTTACTAGCATGTGAAATAGAGTCAGATGCTAGAAGTCACTAAACAACCAGAGTATGAATCCTTACAAAGATAGTAGTTCTAAATTCTTTCACAAGGGCTTGGATGTTAGGTGGAGTGTTCTGGTAATTAGTTATGGGAGGAGGAGACCTATCCTTAGAAGTTTCACGACTTTTTGTCCCAGATCCTGGAACAACTGCTTGATCTCCTAGAGGGATAGAATGGTGAGAGTGGTCAGGAGAGATCTATTATGAAGGAGATTTTGGTTATATTTGTGTTTCAGGATTAGCTTGAGTTTGTTGTTCTTGAACATATGGTTCAGGTATAGTTAAAGGATCTTGGTTATGCTCAGTTTCTGGTTCTGGTTCTGGGGTAGATATGGTCTCAAATTCTGGAAAGTGAGTTTCAGAAGTTGGGTTTTCAAAGGGTATGGATTGGATAGAAGTGATGTTTAAGTCCATAGTAAACTCAGTTCATCATTAATTGGAGCTTGAGGTTGAGGTTAGTTTATGGCTTGTTGGAGAAATTACATGATAAATATGAGAGGTTTGTTTAGGTTGTTTTCTAGGGAAGGCTTTTATGAACTGATCATTATCAGACATGGTGTTTATGGGCGAAGATTCTTTAGATACTGGTCTAGAAGCTAGTTGGTTTTGATCATAGAAATCACCAACTAGATGCTTTGATAATTCATCTAAAGTAGATGGATTAAGGACCTTGACAAGTATTTGAATCATGTTTAGGGATTCATAGGTGGTAGAGGATTTGGGAGAATTCATTGCAGGTTTTAAGGATAGAGTCTTGTCATGAATGGGTGAAGGTGTGTGTTCAGATGAAGGGGAATGGGTTGGTGGTTTGATGTTAAAGGGAGAGGAATAATCTAGAACTGTATCAATATTACGATTCATATTGTTACCTGTCTCAATAGTTTCTGCAGCATTTGGATTTGCTTTCTCAGTAATCCTTTCCTCCATCACAGCATATGCATTATTAGACTTTGTTGCATCCAAGGGTGATTGATGATCAATAGTAACAGAAGTTTTTGCTATAACTTTATTCTCTTAAATAACTTCAGCTTTTAAAGCATGAGTTTCACAACCCAATTATCTTTTACAAAAGATGCAACAACTCATGCCGAACAACGCAATAAGTTTTTCATGATCACGACACTTGTCAGACTACCACCAGAACTCGATTCCGTTTGTAACCAATTTTATCAGGATTCCCTATTCCTAACTATGAAGCAGTTAGTTAACAATTGTTGCACTTGGCTACACCTCACGCTTTTTGACCAATCTCTACTCCATCTCCATCTTAATCATATGCTCTTACTTCCTACTACCATGGTCGTGGTGGAAAACGCCATGGTATTCATTGTAACTATTGCAATCGTTACGACATATTGAATTTGAATGTCGTACAAAGGTAAAAGAACAACAACGATAACCTATGATTTTTTTTGTTGCTTAACCGACTATCACAAAAGATGTTACTATTCTAGCCAATATTCCAGCCATTGTCGTTGTTGCTCAGTATGGTTATTATGTGTTGTACCCCCAAATTTTCCCTCTATTTTCTCAAGACATTTCTCACAAAGATTTTCAAAAGCTCAAGTTTGTAAAAGTATTGACTAGGTCAAGCCACCTCCTCAACACTAATACATCAGAATTAGGGTTTGAGTTTTCACAAGTACAGTTGGATTTTTAATGCCCTATATAGTTTCCATGGATCATATTGGACTTTCAAGCATCAGGTCAAATATGGAACTTCTGAATCTTCGAAAGGCGGAAGAGGAAACTGTCGAAAAGGCAAAACAAATAAAAGAAAAAGGTGTGTAGTTGTAGATAACCATGTCGAATTCAAAATCTGGTTCAAGTTGTTCGAACCACATGACTGATCAAAAGGAGTGGTTGGCAGATTTTTGACAAGTCGAAGAAGAGCAAGCTTGCTTTGATCCCCAAAGTTTCGACTGGGCAATGGCTTCTTCGAGCAACCTATTTCGATCCACAAGCTTCGACTGGGCAATGGCTTCCTTCGAGCAACCTGCTTCGATCCACTTCCTTGCTTCGATCCACAAGCTTTGGCTTCCTTTGAGCAACCTGCTTCGGTCCACCTCTAAACACTTCGACACACATAGTTTCGACAATATGAATTATAATTTAACACAAAAAACTTTGTTGATAATAGTTCATTGCAATAAAAAGGTACTGGCAACATAGTCTTTCAAATGAGTAATAGGGGAAAAGTTATGATTAAAGATGTGC